CATGGAGAGGAAGACCACGAGAACCTCCCACGGTTAGACTGACGGCAAGGAGACTCTAACCCATGATCCGTCTACCACTAAGGATATTTCACGTCAACACTATGGTCGGTGCAAACCGGATGCAGAATTCGTATTGGCCAGGCATCGCCGGGATCCAACCCCGGCTCACCTTATTGGAAGGCGAGCTCTATCCCCTGAGCCATAGTGACTCAACATATATTTATTCTAAAATTTCAAGTTTAGTTCCCTTTTAAGGATCATTTTAGAATCAGGCTAACTATTGGTTCCATTTAGGAGTTAACTCTTAAGTGCTCATATTTTTAATGGTCATTATAGTTTTTATAGATTGATGCTTTTTTAGAGTAGAAAAAAATTACCCCGACCATTTTAAATGTTGTTGTAGCTGAATCGTTGAGTCTTGATATTTCTTTTAACAGTGAATGATAATATCCTTAAGAAGTTAATTTGTCGTTGACTAAAAAAATCTTATTTTGTTTTTCTCTTTTAGATTCGTACAGTAATCTTCCTTACTACTGTCATTTGCTTAGTGGAAAGCAAAGTGTTTGACCGATGTGAATTAGGTAGAGAGTTATATGACAAACATGGTTTTCCTTTAGAAGATATTCCTAAATGTAAGTACTACTTAAATTTTTTGAATACAGGATGTTTTGTAAACACCTCCTTTAACATATGCTTTTTGAAATCATTTTTGAAAAAGGAAATAAAAAAGGACACGCATTAAGGTTCGCTAATTAATACTTAAACTAGGAACAAACAGAAACGCTATCGAAATCACACGAATCATTATTGAAGAAGGTGTATCTGGATTAGCTTTACTACCGGCTGTAATATTGAAGTGTTTATAGTAATTGGCTTTCAAAACCTCTCTGTTTTTTCAGGCAATCAAACAGATTTGTTGTTTTATGCACTCGTCCTTCTCAATTGGTGTCCTGCAAGTGACGCAATCGTGGGTAAATCGTAGCATTCGGTTTTGTCACAATTCTGAAGTCAATGTTTTGTCAACAATTCTGAAGTTCAAAACACACGCGTGACGTCAATTAGCGATATCCAATTAAATGCATTCCTAAGGTTGATTCAGTGTGATAATAAACCAAGCCTAATTGCTGTGATATTAACCCACCAAGCACAACCACATGATTAGGGTCAACCATGTGATTTAAATTCACATGGTTGGGTATTCCTAGACATATATATGTATATAGTTAATTATTTTGCTCCTCTTCTCTCTCTTCCCTAACAAATAACTTTTTGATCTTGCTAATTTTTTTTATTGAAAAATAAAGAAATAATTTCTACATTTGTAAGATACGAAAAAAGAATGTTATTTTTTGGAAAAATGATTTTATAAATAAAATTATTTTTAAAACTTTTTTTCACTTTTAAATTTTTAAATTAAAATATAAAATAAATGCTTGAAAAAAATAAGAAAAATGATTAAAAATGAATTTTAACGTTAATTCTGTTTGGGGGGGGGGAGGAATAATAACAACATAATCAGAAGTTTGTTCCCACGTTTTTTTTTTAATATCATTTTCATTTAATTGATATTAAAAAGTATCAATTCCATGCATTTTATATGATTCAATGTATTATTATTATTCAATGAGTCATTTATATTTTATGTTCAAACATTGAATTTTTTAATATTAATTTATATTATTTCTCCGTCAAGCGAAATGTTAGATAAATGTAAACTTCAAGCACGCAAAGTTGAAACAAAATCTTACGCCTATTTTAGTCTTGAAAATTTTATACAAAAGAAAAATCATAGAAAGTAAATAATTTTGATTGTAAAATTTTTTTCCCCGCAATATAATTGGCTGCACAAACTTTTTAGGGCTCTGTCTGATTCATTGGGAAAGTGGATATGACTCCAGAGCTGTTAACAATGGATACAAGCCAAATACATTAGATTATGGAATATTTCAGGTACCTAATTTATATTTCATGTTTTTTTTTTTTTAACGGTCTAAAAAACTTTAAGTTTTCCCGCCAAAAATTATGTATCTAAATTTTTATTACATAATAAAATACAAATTTCAGCAATTCAAAAAGAATTTTAGTTCTTATTCAAGCTGAACTGGAAAATATTTTTATGATTTTATTATAAAAATGGTTAATTAAACAAGAACTTTTGATTAAGTATTTATTCGAAAAATGTTATCAATATTATTATTCAGTTCTTTTTTGTTGGTGTTTTACAAAAATCATCAGTTTTTACTGTAGTTTCTGTAAAGCCGCGATGGCTTAGGGGATAGAGTGTTCGCCTTCTAATGAAGTGAGCCGGATTCGAATCCCATCGATGGCTGGTCGATACGAATCCGCATCCGGCTTGCACCGATCACAGTGCTGACGAGAAATATCCTCAGTGGTAAACGAGTCATGGATTAGAGTCCCTTCGACGTCAGGCTAACTGTGAGAGGTTCTGGTGGTCTTCCTCTCCATGTAACGAAAATGCGGGTTTGTTCCATTTAAAAGTCCTTTACGAAGACAAAATTTCTCCCAATACTGGATACAGGAGTTCGCTTGTCTTCTGAATGGGATTCAAAATTACTAGGATACGGAGTTGAACATTAGTAGTCGTAATCCCAAAAAAATTGGGTCGGCTGTTCAACGACGGTTATATATGTAGTTTTGTGCAACTGCTTTAAGAGCTGAAGAAAGTAGTGTGCAAGAAATGTAGCTGTCCGGAGAAAAGTTCTCCACAAAATATATATATATATGGAGAGATCTAAAATCATATTTAAAAATTTTTTTATGTTAATGTAAGAGGGAATCATTTTATAGGTAAGAAAATTAATTACTTCAAATTGAATATTCTAAATCTGTTAAAACAGAACAAAAAAAAAAAAAANAAAAAAAACGTGAATAAAATTCAGAAATGTAGCTGTCCGGAGAAAAGTTCTCCACAAAATATATATATATATATATGGAGAGATCTAAAATCATATTTTAAAATTTTTTATGTTAATGTAAGAGGGAATCATTTTATAGTTAAGAAAAATTAATTACTTCTAATTGAATATTCTAAATTTGTTAAAAAATAACAAAAAAAAACGTGAATAAAATTCAGAAATGTAGCTGTCCGGAGAAAAGTTCTCCACAAAATATATATATATATATATATGGAGAGATCTAAAATCATATTTAAAAATTTTTCATGTTAATGTAAGAGGGAATCATTTTATAGTTAAAAACATTAATTACTTTTAATTGAATATTCTAAATTTGTTAAAATATAACAAAAAAAAACGTGAATAAAATTCAGAAATGTAGCTGTCCGGAGAAAAGTTCTCCACAAAATACACTGCTGGACAATTGCTAAGGACGGATGACACTATCATCCATAGCAACATTAAAATGAAAGGAAGCAAAATGTGGAAAATTAGAATAAGTGCGGGATATAGTAAGAAGAGGTATGAGTATGAAATTTTTTTTTCCACGTCTGTTTATCACGTGATAGCGCTGATAAGAGCTTTAAAGGTTTTGACGCGTGTGGAGAGTTGTTGTTTCAAGTCAAAGTTTTACAGGAAAGATTTAGTTGACAAACTTGAAATTTTCGGCATGTCTTCCCAGTATCACTAAGATGATTTTAAGCGAGGCCGAATTATTGAAAAGATCGAAGAAAGGCGAAAAATAACAGATGCTGCTAGGGAGTTTGACATCGCTCAAAGCGTTGTTTCACGGCTGTGGAAATCATTTAAAACTACTGGAATGTGTAGTAGGCTGCACGGGGGAGGTTGTGTTAGAAGCACGACGCCTGCAGAAGACAGATACATCGTCCTATTAGCAAAAAGGAACAGGCGCACCACAGCTCAGCAGGTGGCAAATCAGTTTCTTGCTGCCACAGGAAAGCAGATTTCCCGAAAAACTGTTGCCAGACGTTTGAGGGGAGGAGAACTATACGCCCGAAGACCTGTTGTGTGTGTCCCATTGACCAGACAGCACCATACGGCCCATTCGTGAGCATCACAATTGGACTGAACAGGACTGGGCATGCGTACTATTCTCAGAAGAGAGTAGGTTCAGTCTATCATCGGATTGTAGACGCCAACTGATCTGGCTCGAGAGTGGTACTGACTATCGTATAGAAAATATCCAGGAAAGGGACCGATATCCGACATGCATTGTCATGGTGTGGGCCCGCATCATGATCAATGACCGCACGCGCCTACATGTGGTTGCGAATGGGACTATGACGGGTCAACGATACATTGATGAAGTTCTACATCCTCATATTCGTCTTTTCCGTGGTGCTGTCGGTGATAAATTTGTTTTTATGGACGACAACGCAACATGTCATCGAACACTCGCTGTTCAGGATTGTTTACACAGCGAGGGTATTCAACGCCTCGTATGGCCATCACGTTCTCCAGATCTAAACCCAATTGAAAATGTTTGGGATGCTTTGGGGAGGCAACTTGCTGGTCGAAACTATCTTCCGACAAACAAGAATACCCTCATCCGTGCACTGATAGAGGAATAAGATAAATTGCCTCAGCAGCTGCTGGATAATGTTGCGCAAAGTATGATACGACTTGTAGAATGTTGCATCACACTCCACGATGGACATATCCCGCACCGACACCTTTCTTCAAGCTGCCTGCTGACATTTATATGTATTGTTCCATTTTTTCGTACGCAGCAACAAATGAAAAAATTTTTTCTTTCAGGTGTTTCATAGCTTTTGTACTTTCCAGAACAATTAATATTCTTTATTCTAATGTCTGTTATATGATTCAATGTATTATTATTATTCAATGAGTCATTTATATTTTATGTTCAAACATTGAATTTTTTAATATTAATTTATATTATTTCTCCGTCAAGCGAAATGTTAGATAAATGTAAACTTCAAGCACGCAAAGTTGAAACAAAATCTTACGCCTATTTTAGTCTTGAAAATTTTATACAAAAGAAAAATCATAGAAAGTAAATAATTTTGATTGTAAAATTTTTTTCCCCGCAATATAATTGGCTGCACAAACTTTTTAGGGCTCTGTCTGATTCATTGGGAAAGTGGATATGACTCCAGAGCTGTTAACAATGGATACAAGCCAAATACATTAGATTATGGAATATTTCAGGTACCTAATTTATATTTCTTGTTTTTTTTTTTTTTTTNGGAGAGATCTAAAATCATATTTAAAAATTTTTTATGTTAATGTAAGAGGGAATCATTTTATAGTTAAAAAAATTAATTATTTCTAATTGAATATTCTAAATTTCTTAATAAATAACAAAAAAAACGTGAATAAAATTCAGAAATGGACATGCTGTAGTTCGATAAACAAGAACCTTAGTTAGTTAGAATTCCAACTATGTAGGGCGATAGTAGATCGGTTAATTTGAATACATCTTTCATGTTCTTTAATTTGAAGTTTAAGGGGACGTTTAATTTGTTCAATGTACGCAAAATTACAGTATACAAAATTTTATAAATACCCCAGATATTATTTATATTCCAAATTTAATTAATTTATAATTTTTTTATTTATCTCTTTTTTAGTGTGAAGAATGTATTTATTTTATAGATGATCTATGTCCGTAATATTCTGATATTCTAAAAACTACATTATTAAATATATTTGAAAATCATACTACTTTCATGAAATTTTTTCAATATCTTTATATATACATGTATTCACATTTTTTTAAAATGTTTTTAATTAAAAAATATAATAGTTAATAAAATATCTGTTAGATTAGATTATCGGAATCATATTTTTACTAAAATATAAAAACCAAAGAAGACAGTTTAATTTTTTTTTAAAATTCATATTAAAAAATTTATCAATAATTGATTTTGTAAATAAAGGAAATTTTAATGATGAATAACTTCTTCTCTTAGATCTAAAGAACTCCAAATAAGAGTATCCCTGAATTTTCTAACCAATAATAATAAAATGCTAAATATAATATTTTTTCTCTAATTTTAACTTAAATTAACACAAAACACTGAAAAAGTGTGAAATATATGTTTAATTAAAATTCGGCGTCAAAAAGTTAAAGTTCTAGGGCCCTTAGGCCTGCTTTTGGGGAACACCAATCTCGGGAATTTTACTTTGCTAAAGAAGATGAGGATTTTCTTTCTAATGTTGTTATTCATCACCATTTCATTATTAATTATACATCCAAAAACTGAAACATTAATGATGTGTGTTTACTTAGATCAATGATGACATGTGGTGCAAGAGTCCTCTACGTCCCAGTCAAAATAGATGTGGAATCCCATGTGAAAGTAAGTATATATGTAAAAATTGTAACATATAAAAGATTATAACATATGAAAGATTATAACATTTAAATTGCAACTCTAACTGAAAAATTCAACAATACAAAATGGTGAAACTTCTCGGGAGCGGGGCGACCACTTTCCGTTCTACTGCAAAATGGTCGTTACCTCCATTGACTTCAAAATCGTTATCGAAGGTACAAACGATTTTAACGCTTTTCGCAAACGATTTTAATCTTATAGTCAATGTTATTTTCTTGGTGCGGAAATGTCACTTCTGTTGACGTCATGAAAAGACGGATCGATGAATAAAATTATGATAAAAATGATCCCAACTGATATAATTATGTGTAAAAACAATTTTGCCAATTATGAATGATGATAAAGCTATTTTAAATAAATAAACAATTATGTTTTTTTTGTTGAATTTTGCTTTTAATTTTATATCATAAAAACAGCTTAAAAGATAAAAGAAGTTCGTTTGTTTGAGATGCTTCTTTTTTTCTAAAATAATTTGTTTCTCCCAATTTAACTTTCAACTTTAAAAGTAAATCATTGATAGTTTTGTCTTTAGTGCACTCTAATGTAAACATGAGGTTGTATCGCGTAAAAGAGATCTCTAAATACAAGTTTTAATATACTTATTTGTTTTGTTAAATTTTTTTGTTTTGACTTCGTGTTTCCTTATTTGACCTTTTCTGCATTTGGTGCAGATATTTTCCCGGTCGTTGGGAGAGGTTATAATGGTCTAAAAGTTTTCTACAAAACAAAGTCTATGGAAAAAATTCCGTGCCTCCCAAAAGTGGTCGTAAATAGAGGTGTCCGCTACATAGAGGTTGTCTTTCCTGCGTTTTTCACTAATGCTCCTCTAAAAAGTATAACACAAAAAAATTAAGGAATTGTTGTTGCTGCCATTGTTTTGTGTTTAACTTTATATCAAGTGCTTAAAAATCATTATTTTCAGTTTCTGAATGTTAAGTGTGAAAAAAAACACTCGAAACATCCTATACATATTTTATTCTAATGATCGGATTTTCACGTACTAATTAAGACTCATTAGTAGTTCGCAAACCTCACCTTAAATACTAATCAGAGCAGACGATGTTTTAAATCAGACGCAAAAACATTTGACTCCCAAAATATAAGGAAGGGTTAGCCACAATCTGGGAAATATGGTGTTAAAAGTTTGGGTAGGAGAATGGTCGAAAGTGTGGACTGCTTAATGTTAATTTCAGTTTTTTGCGTGTTTTGCTATGTCTATAGAACGAATGAATCGAAAACTTTTCACGCACAATTATTAAATTCGCTGATCCAAAGGAAAAGAAAAGTCATGAATAATAAAATTAAATAATTATGAATAATTTTTTTTATAATAGTCGAAAACATTTGAATTGTAAGGTATGCAAATTTTTTAATTTTGAAAGTTAAAAAAAAATTCCTATTAATTTTTTTTTCTGAAAAAATTTATGAAGTTTAACAAAAATATCGACGCAAAATTATTATACAATATTTTTATTTTCTTGCAACTTCTTTTTCGCTACTGATTGAAAACTACTACACTTGAAAAGTAAGTTTTCAAGTTGTAATGAAAACTTATTAATACGTTTCTTGAAAATAATAAAGAAAAGCGAAACACGTTGACTAAAAAAAGAGGAAGAAAAAAAAGTTAAAAAAAATATCAGCAACAGTTGTAGAATATATTATGAATTTTAAAATATTTTCATAAAATGTTTTATTTTTTAGGACTAAAAGATGATGATATCACTGATGACGTGTCCTGTGTTTTAAAAATACTTAAGGAAAAAGGCTTTCATGAATGGTATGTGGCAGCTTAAAACTATTTTTTTAAATTGTAAATAGTTTAAGTTGATCTTGATTTGTAGCAGAATATTCACCAAGTCTGGGCAACTTCAAGGCAATGGCTCATGGGAAGCCAAAAAAGAAACATTACACAAAAGGGACCAACTCGAAAGATATAACTAGTAGTCTCCCCTGGACAAACATCTGCATGTTTTTTTTTTTTTTTTTAAATTTGGTAATTTAAAATTTACTTGGCACCTTGGAGATTGAAGTTGAGATGACAGATCAAGGTACGGAAATATTCCCAATAGTTTTATTCAATTCATTTACCGAACAGTAATTTTGAAGTAATATAATCCTAAGATCCAAAATGGGCTTAGAGAATGGCAATACTTAGATCCTATTTTTAAAAAATTAACTTTCCTCTTGTTGCATAACACACTGCCGTCATTATACCATTGGTTTCTAAATTGTTGGAGCTTTAACAGGATTTTTAGATGGTACTTTACTTTTTTTATTTTTTATTCTATAACATAAAAGAAGATGAGATATTTAAAATAATGAGATTAATATGAGATGCTTAAAATGATGGGGTTAATATGAAATACTCAAAATATGGGATTAATATGATGCACTGAAAATAATAGAGTTAATATGAAATATTCAAAATAATGGGATTAATATGACACGCGTAAAATAATAGGGTTTATGAGAGATACTCAAAGTAATGGGATTAATATGAGACGCGTAAAATAATGGGGTTCATATGAGATACTCAAAATAATGGGACTAATATGAGGCGCTAAAAATAATGGAGTTAATAAAAATTAATCAAAATATTGGAACTAAAATGGGACATTTAAAACAATGGGGTTGATATAAGATACCCAAAACATTGGGACTAATACGAGACGCTTAAAATAATGGAGTTAATGTAAGATACTCAAAATAATGATGCTAATTTCAGACACTTAAAATAAAGTAGTAAATATGATCTACTCAAAATAATGGAAAGAAATAAGAGGCGAAAGATATAATGGGGTTAATATGAGATGCGCTATAATAGGGCAATAAGAGAAAAAAAATCTGTCAAATTTTATAGTAATTTACAATATATATTTGAGCCGCTATGGTTCAAGGGATAGAGCGTTCGCCTTCTAATGAGGTGAACCGGGTTCGAATACCAGCGATGGCTAGTCGATAGGAATTCCGCATCCGGCTTGCACCGACCACAGTGCTGACATGAAATATTCTCAATGGTAGATGGNGGTTCAAGGGATAGAGCGTTCGCCTTCTAATGAGGTGAACCGGGTTCGAATCCCAGCTATGGCTAGTCGATAGGAATTCCGCACCCGGCTTGCACCGACCACAGTGCTGACATGAAATATTCTCAATGGTAGATGGATCATGGGTTAGAGTCCCCTTGCCATCTGGCTAACCATGAAAGGTTTTTATGCTTTTCCTTTCCTTGTTACGCAAATGCTGGTTAATTCCATCAAAAAGTTCCCCACGAAGGCAAATTTCTCCTATTACTTGATCCATGAGTTCCCTTGTCTTCTGGATTAGGTTCGAAATTACAAGACTACGGAGTTGAACATTAGTAGTCGTAAATCTAAAAATTGGGTCGGCTGTTCAACGACGGTTATAATATAAATATTTATATTCCTTAGCTGCTTTTTACAGATAACGTATCCGAGAGATAGTGAAATTGCAACTAAATTAGTTTAATTTTTACTTAATGCAATCGAATTTTTGTTGCAAATTTAAAACTAAATGAAATTAAATAAATGTGTGTGTAGCATACAAAATGTTTAATAATCACCGGCCTCAATATATATTTAAAAATTTTTTGCAAAAATGAGGTTAAAATTATTTACACTAATTGATAAATTAATTGATGATTTGATAAATTAATGTGTAATCGAGAAAAAGGCAAAAACATTATCAAATTTGAAGAACCACGATAAAATAAGGAGGAATTAAAATATCAAAACTCGTTATATTTCCTGAGGTAATTCGAAGAAAGAAAAAAGACAATGATTAGAAATTCCATAAAATTTCAACTTGCAGTCTAACTGCTTTTTGGTGCTTTTAATCCTGTCTTCCTCAATACTGATTTGTCAGTTTTTAATGATTCTGCATTTTTCTTAAATATTAATTCGCGAACTGTAATGTGAGTAGTTTTAACTTCATTTTTGCCAAGAACCCTTAAAATATGTAATTAGAGAAGTGATTACAGAATACGCTGTACACATAACAGTTTGCATACCCAAATGGCCAAATTATTGGACGCATTATAAGATTCTATTTACAATCTTAATTATCAGGTAATACTATACAGCTTTATAGTTTTTACTTGCCTGAAACCGGTTTGCATTTGCTTACATTCGTGTATCAATTGGTTAATATTGTAATGCAATACGTTAAAAATAAATACAAATAGGAAGTATATAAAAAATCTACTGAATAAGAACCATGTATGTATAAGAAACATGTATGTTTAAATATAAAAGTATTGCATACAAACTCGTGCAAAACATGTAATTATTAAAAACTATAGTACGTCTAACAATTTGGTCTAATTATTATGTAATTATACTTATAATATACTCATACTTGTAATATATTTATAATACCTGATATAATAAATATTCTATATTTATATAATATATCGTCTAATTTAACCAACTGATACACGAACGTAAACAAGTGCAAACCGGGTTTAGTCACGTAAATACAATAATATAGTACAGTACAGAACCCGTTATCCGGAAATCAGAAAACCGGAAAACCAAAAAACCGGAACGAAAACCGATAAATTTTCCCGCCATTTTTAAAAAAATTTTTTTTTTCCTCTTAAGATTTTAGGATTTTTCTTTCTTTTTTGAAAGATGTTTACCTTACCATCATTTTGGAAATAATTATTAGTGTATTACTTCATCATTTTTCTTCTTTTTAAGATTATTTCCAAGTATTTTTCTTTTAGTTGGGTTTAACAATAAAAAAGCGGCTTTTTGCAGCGATTCAGAAAACCGGAAAAATCAGTTATCCGGAATATCGATGGTCCCGATCATTCCGGATAATCGGTTCCCTACTGATAATTTAGATTTTACATAGAATCTTATAGTGCGTCTAATAATTTCGCCAGGGACTGTATACTATCATCCTATATTTAATAATATGTTGTAATAATAATAAATTAAGCGTATAATGAGGTTAAAATAATTATGTACTGAATATTTTTGCCACTTTTGAAAATAATATATATATTTTTAAATCTTATTTTTAGGATGTCATATGGACTTCGATGTAACAGCAATACAGGTGAATACATCAAAAACTGTGATATGACTTCAAGGACAGTGAACATAGGCATGAAACTAAGAGATGAACCTCAACCTCATGTCAGGTTTAACGTTAACTTGGTAACGGAACAGCCACACCTACTCAAAGTTCGATTAGGCTTGACTTCAGACCCTAAAGGATTCAAAGTCAACGTGAACGCCAAAGAAGCCAAACTGAATTTTTTCACGAAATTCCTAAAAGCTCATTATAAAATTAAACCCTTTTTTAGCTTGCAACAATATGTCACCAAGTAAGCTGACGAAAAAGTGCAACTCACCTCATCAGTGGACAATCCTATTTATGTGCCAAAGTGGTTATGAATAAAAGAACTGAAAGCTACCTTTAAGAAAAGAAATCAAAATACACACCAAATATTTTTTTTTTACGAGAAAGCTCAGCTTTTGTTCAAATGGGTATAAATCAGTTTGGTAGCAGGTTTACCAGTTGATATTAATGTAATTTAAAAAAATAAACGTTGAAATTTGTTGAATATTCTTGGTTTATTTCATTTTTAAATAAATAAAATAATGATAAGTTATAACTAAGCGTAGAGTATCTACCACTACAAAAATATACTACCAATTCACTAGTATAAAAAACATGTTAACTCGATTCTGTGTCAGAACATATCGATATATTACGATGTATAGTGATATTTTTTCAATTTAAAAAAAATTAGTTTGTATATATTTTTGTCACTTAAATGAAATTTATCAACTTTGAAGATGATCGTGCATTCGATAATTATCCTTACTGATAATTACGTTTAGAAATAAATATCATTAGCGATAATTATTTTATTTGAGGTATATCGTTGTCGACAATGATTGTGTTATTATCGTATGTGATCATAGTNTCTTTCTCCAGATTAAAATTGATAAAAAATTATTTGCGTTCAACAATGAATCAAGATCGTTTGGCATCGCTCGCACTTATGTCTATTGAATACGACATTTTGCGTAGTTTGGAATTCGACAGCATAATACAAGATTTTGTTGAATCCAAAAATCGCAAGAAAGTAATATCATAAGATTCAGCAAAATAATTTATTACCGAAAAATATTATATTTTTATATGTATCTTCATAATTTTGTGCAAAATACACTTGTTGTTTTTAAAGCTAAATTATTTTTGTCAGCAAATTTTTTTCTCCCAAGTTTTTCGTAGGCCCTAGGCACGTGCCTATATGTTAATCCGGCCCTGAGTGTAGAGTATCTACCACTACAGAAATATAATACCAATTCACTAGTATATAAAACATGTTAACTCGATTCTGTGTCAGAACATATCGATATATTACGATATCTAGTGATATTTTTTCAATTTAAAAAAAATTAGTTTGTATATATTTTTGTTACTTAAATGAAATTTATCAACTCTCAAGATGATCGTGCATTCGATAATTATCCTTACTGATAATTACGTTTAGAAATAAATATCATTGCGATAATTATTTTATTTGAGGTATATCGTTGTCGACAATGATTGTGTTATTATCGTATGTGATCATAATCGATAATATCAGCAATATTTATACTTCTTATGGTCGATAAATCTCGATGTATTACCGTCAGCGATAATCAGATATGGTATTAACGATATATTGTAACATTTATGTGTAATTGCAATGTAATGTTTAAAAAATATCGGAATTATAAGACACATTGACCAGAGTTATGCTATACTGCAAAGCACTGAGATTCTCTAATTAATTCTTTGTGGCAGAAAACTATAAAATTTCTTTGTCACAATTCGTTGAAGACAAAAATTATGGTTGGACTCGCAAATATTCTCTAAAACTTGTTGGAGAGTAACTGAATATTTCAGATAATTATTTGATCCAAAAAGTGCATTAAGAATTAGAAAAAATGTCATTAAAAACTTTGTAAGACATTTAATCGACAAAGTGTGTTATGATCGTTGTTTGTCTGATCGCATTTTCTGGGGTGCAAAAGTGTCATGACTACGGATTTCTCTACCCGTAAAATAGACCAAAAGGCATTAGAATTGTGCCTGGTCACAGTCTGGAAAATAAAATTGCCGGTGCTCAAGAAAGTTAGTATCTGCTTTGGAAGAGGGAACACTTTTAGTTCATTTTCTAAAAGTTAATTTAGCTATCTTACTTCAGTTGTTATTGTATGGCAAATGAAGAACAAGATAATACTCATTTATAATAAATGAAAAAATAAAAGTTTCTAGCTTAATTCAAAAGTTTTAATCTATAAGTTTTTCCTTGTTGAAAAAAATAGAACTTTGAATAGGAACTTCTTGCTTAATTCATTTTTTGCATTGGTCAATGTTCTTTTAAATTCAGGTGGTTCTATACAGTCATGTAAAATTCTACCCCAACATTTTTTTCTTAAAGTTGAGAGGCAAAAGAGTTTACGTTTACACGGATTTAATGACAATGGATGTGTGGTCATAGAACAGTCAAAGAATGTTTATAAAAACCTATATAAAAAGACAAAAAAAATTTTTTTTAATAGCTGTTGTCCAACTAGGAAACGATGGTATAAACTTCTGCTTATTAAAGTTAGAACAAATTTTATGTAAGGTATTCTGTAACGACCACTCTAAATACATATTTTAAAAACCTTTGCCAAAAAGTGTGCACTTTAGGGGATGTAAATTAACATTTAAGCAAGAAAAAACTGAAAACGATTTTGAAATTTAACTAATTTTTACAAAGAAATGCAGCCTTAAAACCTCAACAACTGTTTGATTGTAGGACAAGGCTGGGAGGATTAAAAATGCCTCTAAGCTTCATCAGGCAATCAAACTGATTCTGATATTTGTTATCTCACCTAGCTTATTAATAATTGGACAGATTAGTCTTATTGTTTCTTACTCACTAATATATTAATTTGTAATCCATAATGTGTAGTTTACTTCCTCTACTGACTCATTCAAAAAATATAAATTCAAAAATTGTAGAGGGCAGTGATTAAGGAACACTTTGTATATTAAGTAATTTAAAACACAATTCGACAGTTTGTCCAGCCCGAAATTTCAACCCTGCCTACTTATTTAAAACTTTAGTTAAAAAATTTTTTTTATAAAATTTAAAAAAAATACTGCCTTTAGATCAGTATATTTCAGATTAATATCCTATATCAGGATGTGTAGCCTAATCTTTCAACAAAAAACAAGCACCTTTTAAAGCACTCAAAAAATATTTTTAAGCACTATATACATTAACAAACTTTACATGACCATGATAAAATAACTAGTTTCAGACAAAAACTTCTTTTCTTGATTATATTAGCTACCATAAAAAGATTGAGATATTTTTCAGTGTGATTTCAGAGGGAGGAAAATGAAGCCCGAAATTGAGATTATCTTGCAAAATATAGCAGAGTGGCACATGAGAGGAGTGCAAGAATCTCATCAAACCCTCCAATTCAGTATACGCACATGTGGACTTTCAAGTATTTCATCAAACATGTAAAATCATTGGCGCATTCATACGTTGTGGACGCCGAAATGGATTATAATTGAATGAATTGAGAAAACGTTGCATTGAACAATGTGAAAAGCATGCTTTTGCTTAATACATCGCGAAAATCGACATGGTAAAGAAAAATCTCATTTCGGAAAAGGTAAATTTTAAGCACTTTTTAAAACACCCAATGAAAAAAGCACCCTTAAGGGCATTTAAAAAAGGAAAATCGAAAATAAGCACTTTTTAGAAATGCTATGCACCATGTATATTCAAGTCAAGTACACCTGCTTTATTTTTCAAGATTAAACTCAATATTAAATGCAATTAAACAGAACTATCAATAAAACATTAACAAGTTTTTATTACAATATATACATAATGGGGAAAAAATAGATGATAAACATGTTTTATTTACATTTTCTGTATAAAAATAATTTTTTTTAGCATGATGTTCAAGGGCTTTAAGACATGTCTCCACTGATACATACTAGTGATCCTGTCGATGCCTTTTCCAAAACCTTTTAACATCATCATGGCCACTTTTACTAACTAGCATTACTCGTCTTGAAGGATTACTGAATATCAAAACACCTAAATCCTGCAGTGAAGGAAGAAAAAAAAATTTACAATTGAATTGCAGAAACTTAAAAATAACAACAGAATAAATGAAGGCCAAGACTGCAATAAATCAAACATAAAGCTCTATTGGTGAATATACGTGAAAGTATTTTCAACTTTTTTCTAGGAGCACTAATTTACAACACACAAAGCGTTAAAAGATCTTCTTATACAGCACACTCAATCACATACAGGGTGTTACAAAACTAGTGACCACAAATACATATTTATTTTCACGTTAAGTGAATGAAATGTTGAATCAATTTTTTTTATAGAATATTTTCAGATTTTAAAAATGTAGAAAAGCTTTATTTGTTTACTATAGCTTGAATTTAATGCAGGGAATTATCTTCAGCATAGCAATAGTCTTTGTAAAAAAATTGCAATCCCAGGAAAACTTTTAATTCATTCTTTCAACAACAAAAAATATATAAATAAAAGATTAAGTTGAAGGAAGAAAAAATTATATATTCCAGTAAATTTGATTAACTTTATTTTAATTCAGTTAATCTTTGTTATAAGAGTATTGAAATCAAGAATATGCATTTATTTAGTTCTACATAACAGAAACAGTAATTAAATTTTATAAAAACATATAAAAAAATTTTTTTCGCTATTTACTCAAAGATAAAAATGTTGAGAAAAGATATAAACATTGCTATCTATTAAATTATTTAATAAATGAAAAAAAATATATGCAATATAATTTCCTTTCATCTTAAGAAAGCTTTTTTTAATTCTGCAGCCTTAGTGAAATAACTATAAGCACTTAGACAGTGGCGATGACGATAATGATGCACAGATATATTTCAATGGACTAGATTCTTGAAAGGATGCCCGGTGGCTGAGTGGTAATGGTTCCCGCTCTCGTGCCACAGGTCCTGGGTTCGATCCTCCGGCCGGGCAAAGTTGACCCAGCCTTTCATCCCTTCAGTGGATTGATAATATGAGAACCAAGCATGCTTGGAGACTAAACACTGGAGGTTTGGCTGATCACCCAATTGGAACATTTGCTTCTGCATCCCAGAGCCCAAGGTCCAGAAAACTGAGATGAGCACGGTAAGCCTTGGCCCTGTATAGGCTGTTGCACCAAATTTTTTGCAAGTTAAGTTAGGTAGATTCTTTAAAGTGCTGATTTCTTTTCAGAGATACCGAATGCTTAACCTGAGATTCTTTCAGCCATTTTAAGAATTTTTTTTCACTAAAAATGTACAATGCATTAATTTTACTATTTAAGAATTTTTCTTTATAGGTACTGGCAAATAGTTTGCAGAAATAAGGAGAAAAATTAACAGTAACCATACTTGCAAATATTATATGAATTAAAATTTATAAATTTCAAAATAATCTCTAACTATAGCACAATTCCTATTTACTCAAAAAATAATATAGAGAATAGTTCTTAGCATTAACGTGTATTTAAAAATTAAATACATAGCAAAAAAAAAAAAAAAAAATAGAAGAAATAAACTGCATTAGTAAATATTGACTTAGAAAACCCTCCAACTCTAGTAAAAAAAAAGGCAAAATTAAATTACATTATCTGAATTTTTTAATATTAGCACATAGGTTGTAACAATGACGGATAGATATTTTTTTAATGAATCAGACTTATGAAAACACTGATTTTTTTAATGCAATACCCAATGATAAAATCATCCACCATCATTGTATATTATTAATTGTATATTATTATATTATTAATAGATATAATTTATATCCAATCTGTGACTGATTTTAATTAAGTAATTAGACTGCAATGTAGAATTATTTTTACTTAAAAATAACTGGAATAAAATATTTTCTATGAAATTTAACACCACTGATTTCGGCCAAGAAGAAATGTTGATTCACTGTGTAGAGCAGCATAATCATTTCTTCAGCTATTTTATTGATAAATAAACAGTTTAAAGTTTTAAAAAGCTAACGTCCATTTTGTGCACACTCTCAAAGCTGTAAATTTCAGTCACAAAAATTTAACTAATAATACACAAAGGATGCTCATATGATATAAGTGATATCAAAAATAAATAAGCATTGAAATAGACTAAACAGATGGAGGTGGCACGTTTCCTCTCAGCACATGCTACATTATAACCAATCAGGAATAGTTTTTGATTGCATCACGCATGGAGGCCTTTTTGAGCAATTTAAATGCTTAATAATCAAATAAATAAACATTTGGAGAAAAAAAAATCAGATTTTCGGATTCAGGAGGAAATTTCCAATAAGTTAGGATTGAACATAAAAAAAATTAAGAGATGCTGTAATTGTCCATTATTCATATCTATGAATTGTTGATATGCATTGCAAATAATTGTTAATTATTTATAATGCACCGATATTTCACATTCAATGAATGTCCAATTTTATTACCGGTGTAGAAGATTACCAACCATTCGATATTTGAACATTTTTGGGGGTTTGAAAAGTCAACTTATACAAAGGGATATATGCTACTTGATATCAGCATTCCAGGAAATTCCAATTATAAATTATTGAAACAGAGTTAATTTATGCACAACAAAATTTCCAAACATAAACAAAATAAAACAAAAAACAAACCTGAGCATAGTTACAAAGCAATTCAAAATCACTTTGAGATAAAAATTGGCTGTACAAAACACCTTCAGTAAACTTGAAACGATCCCTTTCCATTTCCCAGAGTCGAATTTGATCAACAACAGTGGGTGGCAAAATTGGTTTCTAAAAGTGAAAGTAATTGCTTAAATGATTAGGAACATAATCACAGCAAAATTTTTAAACAAATGCTTTAATAAATTTTTAAAATTAAAATTTTTAATAGTTTTTATGTAGTTTTACAGTTTACACTTCCAAGCATATTTTTCAAAAAAGTATGAAGAGTAACTAATATAGATGGTGTCCAAGATGGATGGACACACTCAGGTTACATGCAAGGAATTTTTCAGTTCTACTGATTGGACCAATCAAATGTAATCCACCACAACATTTGTAAACTGCAAATTCTTTGTGGTTGTTGCCCTTTTATATGGTGAAGATTATCTTTAAAAGGATTTTTTAAAAAACCACTAACACTCATATTTTTTGAAACTTGGCTTTTTTTCTTTTTAACATTTTGCACTACATTCAAAATCAGCATAACAGTTTCTGACACAAGTTGTATAAACAATAACCAAACAGTTATGAGCACAATAATTATAAGAATAGAATAACACTTCATAAAAAAAGCTATTTAATATAACAAGAAAGCTTTCGAAAAGCAGTCTAAGGATCAATAATATAATTTTTTACTAAGACATTCTTAAACAAATTTTATTTTTAAAAGTTTACCCTTCAGCTTTTGAATATGGAAACAGACATATTTTTTTAAAAATTTTTAGGGAATAAAAGATATACTGTATATACTTCCAAATACAAGCCAAGAATTTTCAGAAAATTTTTTAAAGCTTAAATTGGGAGATGGGATGGGCTTATAACTGGATCCACTAAATTTGAAAAATTAGTGGATTTGAAAGATGTCATCACCAAAAGAAATACTTCCTTTTTCGAGCATTAGAAGTAATTAGCAAATATTCCAACACTTACAAAATATGAAATAATAGTTGACATGTTAGAAACTAAATATAAAATTTGAAAAAGAAACACAAAAAAAGGAAAAAGTGAAAGAAATTATTTTTTAATCTTCTAGCTATGAATCATGAAAGTTCATGTTTGTTTTATCCACTTTGTAACCATTACTACAAGAGAGGGGATAATTTTTATATCCAGGTGTAGCATGTCTCATATTTTTAAACATCAGGTTATAAACAAGTTATGATTTTTGGGTCAATTTCTAAACAAAAAATGTACACCTTGGTTATACACATATTCATAAATATATGGTACTTTCTATTACCTGTTTCAACATTTCAGGATGAGCATGCATTTGAAGAAATTTTACAATCTGAAAAAGAAACCAAAGAAATAAAAATGTATAGAAACTATAATCATTACAAAATTTACTATTTAATATTATAATAGAGAAAAGGATAAAATTTGTTAAATACAGTGAGTGTAACAATGCCCGACAAAAGTAGTTCAATTGTTGGTTGCCAGTCACTGCCACGTTTCTTTAAAAAAAAGTCAAAATGATCCGATTAATTCTACAAACTATGTTGGTTATATTTAGGCTAATTTTTTTAATAAGTCCAATTTCAAATTACAATTTGAAAAGTCAGTTAACATTGATACTATAACAAAAAAAAATATTTAAAGAAAAAATCCTAAAGACTATAAACTTTTCGTTTGTAAACTATACGTAAACTAAAGTCCACTATACATTTTTCACCAGCAAAAATAAACTTAATATTAAAAAAATTGGTTTTTATAATCAATTTTTTAAATCTAATCACAAGAAATTAAAAAAAAATCCAAATAAAAAAAAAAAATTTTTTTTTAAACATCAAAACAGATTACAACCGGGATAGCCTGGTTGGTAGGATGCTGGACTCGTGTTAGTGAGAATGACGAGTTAATCGTGCATGAATCCCGCCGGGGGAAGAATCCCCATGTATTAAATGGAGACTGGTGCACGTTAAATCTGTCAGGATAATAGTGGTCCAAGTTTCTCTAACAAAGCAATACCTCTGGAGGTATGGAATTGGAGATCGATCAAACTACCGTTCAGGTCAAAATTACGATATGTGGATGAATGAATTGAGTATTATTGGATCATTTCTGTAAAATGGATCGTGACGTGTGTGTGTGGTTGAAGTCATATTCTCGGCTACAGAAAACACCACTGAAAAAACAAGAAACTAAAAAATTCGCTTGATTTCAATCAGGCATGCTAGTACTGGCAAGTGGCATAAGTGACAACAAAACACAATTTCTCTCATTTTTATTGTAGATTAACAGAGTATCTTTTTATGGTTTATTATAAACAATAACGGAAGAGCATTACAGAAAAATAAGAATGTAAATAAGTATAAAAATTCTGCAATAAAAAAAATTTTAAAAATCAGATAATGTTTTCTGAAATGATGGGTATAGTTTGTAGCACATTCCTATTAACATTTGGTCAATAACTGATAAATCTAATCTACAAAATGACTTCGAATCTACAACATTTGATCCATTCCAGTTTACAAAATTTGAAATAAAATATAAAAATAAACAACAACAAGAATAGGACAAAACATTAAAAAAAGCTGATATATAACAACAAAATTTTCTTTTCACCTGATCTGCAGTGATTCCACATTTTAATGCTTCTCTGACACTTTCCCGAGTGAAGACACCAACAGCAAAATTTGGAAACCTAACAATTTAATGGAGAATATATGTTTTAAATTGAATTTTTTACAGCCCACAATTACAGAGTATGAAAATAAAAAGCAGTATAAACCACCTTCTGTCATTGCAACTGTGATACAAGATAAAAAAATAAATATTACAAACAATATTAAAAATACAGTACAAAATATAACATTAAGCAGTATTAAAAATAAATATAGTAATAAAATTTTCTCAAAGAAATCACAGAACTTAAAAAAAAAAAATACAATCATTAAATATTAAAATAAGTCAGGGAACTATGGATTTAAAAACAAAACTATGAGATAGTTTAAAACTTAAGTTATTGTAACATTTTCCAACAGGTGGTTTGTAATATGATATTCAATCATATTTAAATGTCAATTTCTCCCCAGATTTCTTTTTCTATAAAATTAAGTTTTATTAATGAATTATAAATTCTCTCAATAAATTGCCTCATGCAATATAGAACTTAAGAACACTTTCAACAGAACATTATTTCAGGAGTTTCAATTGTATTGATATAAAGAAAACTTCCAAGTTCAAAAAATAAAAAAAAATTCAAAATATTTTTCAAAAATTCTTTATAATGGAAACATTTTCTTATAGAGTTTCTTAAAATAATAAACACACTAAAAATTGAAATTATAGAGTTATTTTCCTCCCTCAAAATATCATCGATAAAACTTATTAAATAAACACCTGTAATCACCGATTTTGCAGACTTTTTTTAAAAATGGAACATCAAGCGTTAATCACCTATCAAGTTAATGTGAACATGTGTGAAGTAATTCTAAATTATAGTTTAATAAGACTTTATATAAAATTTATAGATATTGTATATGTCTATACATATCTATCCATCTATCAGGAAAAGAAATGATGTTAGAAATGCTTTCATGATGTTTCCAAGCAAAATTTTGAGTAATTTACCCAGTCTGCTTTAGCCAACTGCTTAGCTAAAAAATATCACATTTTGTGTTTTTAGTCTTCAACATAGTCAACAACTTTTTAGTCTTCAACAACATTTTTGTGTCTAAAGATTACACTTCCTATTTTGCAAGAAAGAGTAATTTCCTTTATAATGTTCTAAGTTATAAACCAAGAAAGTCAATATAGCAAATTTTAGATATCAACAAGCAATACAATAAACTAGCAGTTTAAAAAAAAAAAAAAGCTTTAGAGTAAAAATACGTAGAAAAATGAAGATTTACCTGTACATCATTTCACAAAAAAGAGCAATAAGAGCTATTTGAAGATGGGAATCTATAAAAGAAAATTTCTTTATTTAAAACGTTTTAATTTCTCCAAGTATTTCTAGAAAGAAAAAGAAAAAAGCGTTAACATTAGCTTAAAATCTATTATTTACAGTTATTCATGCAGTTTAGTATTTAGATAAATAAATCGTTTAAGAGAAAAGATAAATTTTTAAACACAAAAGTTACTAAAATAGTATTTAGTAAACTTTTTTCTTCTTCTTCTTCTTTTTCTTAATAATAGCTGCATAAATGGATTTATAAAAAGCAAATAAAATGTAAAATAAAAATTTCCTTAATTTTAAAAATTTATACAGTTTAATTAAATATGAATAGATATTTTACAATAATTAATGAAGTAAATTGACTAAGTAAATAAAAATCATAAAAATAAGAAATAGATTTATCATTAAAATATACACAGTATACAAAGACAAATAATACCTGTGTATGCATACACTCTATAATTTGTTTCAACAACTATGTAGCCTGTTTTGTTGACATCCATGTTAACTTCCTTAAGACCAGATGCCAAATTAATAGCTAAACGAGTAGGATAAAATCGCCCAGATCTCCGCTAGAAATAAATGTACTGAATATAATCAATATAATTTAAATGTAGTTTCATACACTCTAATAGAATGATTACTTAGATCAAGTAAACCACAGATTTTTAATTTATAGAGAATTTTGATCAATTTAAAAATTGGGTGTACTTTTTTTTCTTTAAAGATGAGGTTACAAACTCATATAGAAAACTACCCAAGTAGTAAAATATCAGTCTTTACTGGGTTGCTATATGTATAGATTATTTATTTATTCATTTATATTTTGCTTTGTTTTTCTCTCATAAAGCTTCTCTTGGATATTTCATTAAAAAATGCAACTTAAAAAACACTTATATAATACCTAAATAGATCATTTTTTAAATCAAGAAATTATTTTTGTTTTTCAAACTAATAACAAAAACCAATCAAAGTCAAATTTTATATTTCTACTAAATGAAACCTTTTATTGTTACATATCACGTATGTGTTTTGGAATATATTATAATAAAATAAATTTTCCTTGAGAAATACCATTGTTCAATTTTTACCAGGTAATTGATAAAAAAAAACTTACTTAAATTTCTGTTCATTTACTGACAGCTGATTTGGTCATGACTTGGTTCATTATTTGTAACTGATAACCATATGTACTATTTCTATTTGATAACTATTAGGCATTATTAGATAATATATTGCACTGTTAAAAAAATTACATGGGAATCAATGACTTCTTCAAAAAAATTTATTTACCTAATAACATGAAATAAATTTTATTGCCGATAATTAATAATTTTTAAAAGAAAGAGAAAATAGCAAACAAGCAAAGAAATATTTTGCGAAATGACAGGAAAAAAAAATATCTTGCTTTAAAAAAATTAATTTACAAAAGCAGTTTAAACAGCAAAAAACATATAAAAAAAGAATAAGGATTCTACCTTTCTCTGATAGACTATGCCTAGTTCTCTAAGATGTTGCAAAAACATTAACATTGATTCATTCATTTCACCAGTACTATAATCCTGAAAAGAATTGGAGTACATTTTAAGACTTTGCCTAGAAATGCAATAAATCAAAACAGACAAAAGTTTTGAATAGATAACTAAAAATTTTTTTACATAATACACTGTTTTCATAAAGATCTTTTATTTTAATACAAGCAAATTCATGATAAAATAAGACTTTCACTCTTTACTAACATTTATTTTATTGCTTGAAAGCAAATGCATGAAAACTTGAAACTATTAAAAGTATTAAAGGAAAAATGCTGGAAAGCAACACAATTCTAATAATTTTCTGCTACAACACAATTCTAATAATTTTTATTTTATTTTTTTCCTAAAAAATCTATCTTTAAAAGACTTATATTTAAAATATTTTTGTACAATAGTTTTTTATCCTAAAATACCTCTTTGTTTGTATATTTTTGCTCAAAAATAAAAATTGTGGATCAAAAAATTATTTTTCAAAAAACTGACATTTATAGAATTGTTTGCTCATTTGCCTTTATTTAAAGTATTATATTTATGATTGTATAAGAAGATTTGCTTATTGTATTTTGATTTTAAGTATACAAAAATACTTAAATATTTTTACATTAAATGCTGTTGTTATAAAATTAGATTGTCTTATGAGATTGACTTACCTTTCCTAAAGTAAGAAAACTGAGTTGAAAGAGGAATGTTAGACAATCTACTAAATTCAACCCTCGTTCCTATAAAATACAAAGACAAAATATATAATTAGAAAAAAAATATATACTTAGAAACAAAAATATTTTAAAACTTCAGTTACTTTTTAATTTTTGTTTTACTACATTAAAGATATCTGATAAATTAATCATGGCAAAATACACAATTTATGTTAAATAGCAACATTCAACAGTACTGCAATAAAAAACTTAATGCCATCCTTTTGTCATCTAACTCTATGTATTTATATCATGAAAAACTCAATAGAAAAACTAAACAATGTTTGTGAAATGGAAAATAAAACATCCTTTGCACAGATAAAATTCACCAAATTTTATTTAGTCACATTTTTAAGAAAATTAAGATCATAACTTAAACCTAGACATTATAAGATATTAATATAAATATTTTAAGACACAGATACCATTTAAGAGTACCTTATTAATTCATATAAAAAAAAAACCAACCATGATCAAATAAACACAAAAAAAATCAAGAATTGTTCAACTGAATTTTACTTACTTCAATAGTATCAAGATACTGTAACATAAAATGCCAAACTTGAGAGGCAGTTGTCATAAGAAGAAACTGAAAACCTTCTGTTGTAATTACATTAGATTCACCTTCTCTAGAAATTTAATAAACAAAAAAAATTAATATAAAAATGTAAATGGTCTTTATTTATTAATAATCAAATAAATACAAATAGTGGAACTGAAATATTAAGTGGATCAACCTTACAAAAAAGTGAATTTTGAACTCACTGTGTATTTAGAACAGAGGTCGCCAAAGTGGTCTATATAGACCCCCAAGGGTCTATTTAACAAAAGCAGGGGTCGATCTGAGACAGGGGGGCGAATGGGGGTCGATCCGAATCGGAAGGGTCAATTGTGGGTCGAAAAAAGAAACAGTTCTCAATACTCAAATCACACATACCTAATTAAGTATGTAAAATTTGTGAATTTTTTTTATGATTGACTCAATATCAGTTTCTTTATAAAACATAAATTAATAAACGTGTATTTATTGGGGTGAAACAAGTATGTACGTACCACCGCGCAGTGGCACGAACTCAGCGCAGTTTATAAGTCATATGCAGATGTGCGCTTGTCCAAATGTCACTTGTGACGAGCATTGACGTTACAAATGCAAATATCATACTCAGTTTTAACTATCTTTGCAAACTGTGTTGAATATTTGCAGTGTCATTATTAAAACTTTTATAGTTTTGGATAATTAGTTATTGTTTCGATAAAACCNCATAAAATGCCAGACTTGAGATGCAGTTGTCATAAGAAGAAATTGAAAACCTTCTGTTGTAATTACATTAGATTCACCCTCTCTAGAAATTTAATAAACAAAAAAAAAATTAATATAAAAATGTAAATGGTCTTTATTTATTAATAATCAAATAAATACAAATAGTGGAACTGAAATATTAAGTGGATCAACTTTACAAAAAAGTGAATTTTGAACTCACTGTGTATTTAGAAGTACCATAGAGTTTATAAAACTTTTATAAGTATATATAATGCTAAAAAGAAATAATTTTTATTTACAAATCTAATTCATAGTTTGTAATAAGCTTGCTCAGATGAATGAAACAACGTTAAAACTTATTAGTTTGTTAATGAGTATAGTAATAAATATTGAATTTTGCATAAGTTATAATGCTTATGTTAATTATTCTAAATATGAAATGTAAATTTTATAACAAAGAAATTGTAAATTTCATTTTACAGAGTAAAACGTAAATATTATTTCTCTTTTCCTGTTCAATATTGCTAGAATTAAAGTTGAATAACTAAACAGTTTTAAGTAACATCATTCAATGATTCTGATACACTTTAAAGTTAAAATCTTTTATTGTATTATCTTCATTAATTACAGGACAGAAAGAGAGCTGTCAATATTTCCATAACTCAAAGTCTAAACTGCTCGATAAGAAATAGCATTTTTATTATATGTTTAGGTTCAAGAAAATGCAAATTAGAAAATATTGGAGTATTACATTTTTATTGCGTTGCTTTTAAAAATAATCCCCCCTCCCCAAAAGGAAAGAAAATGGTGTTAGATTTTTATTTGTTACTAATCAAAAAAGAATTCTAAGCTCAAAATTCCTTGCTTTTTTGGCAGCATTTCCTTTCTTTTCAAATATACTGGAAATTGTTCTTTTTTTTAAAAATTTATGTTGTAATCTAAACCTCTTTTAGTTAGCAGGTTTCTGTTGTTCACTTTGCATCTTATCAAATAACTTTACATTTCAACTATGATGGAATAAAAACATACTTTTTCATTAATCCTGAATGCAAAAGGACTTTGATGGCATCATTACTAACCACATTTTCTGTTTGTTGAGAACCAACCATGAAATGCAAGAGAGCCTAAAAGTACATTAAAACAGAATTTATAGGTATATAATTTAAAATTAAGACAATTATAAATCATGAGATATAACTAATACAGTAGATCGTTATAGCGCAAACCTTGAAAGATGGTATTTTATGGAATTTTATATGATATGGATCATTTCATCAAACTTACCAACTAAATTAGGCAATATTTGTCTGGGAAAGATCAATCTTAAAAAACTTTAAAATAATTTTGATACAAATACGTAAAAACACAAAATATGCACTTAAGCATTTTATATCCGCCGTTCAACAGTCGACCCAATTTTGGGTTTACGACTACTAATATTCAACTCCGTAGCCTTGTAACTTTGAACCAATCTTGAAGACAAGGAAAATCCTGGATCAGTACCCCCAGTGGTATGATGTATTATGGGAACATGGAGAGCTTTGTGACTCGACAGATTTAACGTGCATCAGTCACTATTCACTACACGGGGAGTCTTCGGGCGTCGAATCCACCACCTTTTGGACATGGGCCTAGTGCCCTACCAACCAGGCTATTCCAGACCTGAACTTAAGTATTTATAATTAACAGGGAAACATTGAAATTATCTGAAACATTAAACAAATTAATTCATTTCGGTTGGCTTTTAAGAAATTTACACTTTTCATCAAATAATTAAACTAATAGTGCAAAAATTTTATAGTTCTTGCTTCATTATAGAAATTTCTTAACTGCAATTCCATTGTTTACACCCTAGTATGGTTGATGAAGAACTGTGGTTTATAGAATTGTGTTACATAGATCTTCTGGTGTAATGAAAATTAAAAGAAAAATGTATATATAAGATACCTAGTCGTTCCTAAGCATCACAACGAAACTAAAAATTGCTTTGAGCTTACATAGGTATTTTGGTCTTAATATACATGAATTTCTTAAATTTAGTAATAAAAGGTATTAAAATGTAGCACATCAAAACCTTTAATCTAAAACTATAAACCCAAAAAAGCACCACAAAAAGAAATTATAATAAAAATAAACTAATATAATATATAACCAATATATAATAATAAAATACACATACTTCCCATCTCTCCAGAGCATAAGCATCAAGAAATTTAACATCTCTAGCATGTTTGTCTTTTTCAAGATTTGCATAAACAGCCCAAGGTTTTCCTCTAGAAAATATAAACTTTTGTATATTTGCTCTAGACAATTAAACAAAAAAGTGCAGACAATAAAAACAAAATTAGGAATGTGTATTATGATGTTACAGTCAATGGAAAACTAAAGTTTCCGCTATTGTGAAAAGGTACATAAAAAAAATATTAAAAATACATTCTGAACATTATTAACACTAGATTGCCTAAGGAAGTCATTTTGAATGCTTTTTAATTTCAATTAGAAAAACAATGATGACACAATTTCTTAGAATTTTGTGACTTTTTGTAAAACATATAATTTTTTTTTTATTGTTAATATTTACTAATAACTTGTTATATAATTCTAAATAATAATAAAATATTAAAAATTAATTTTAAACAACTTTCTATACACATTAGTCATTCTTTCACAATCCTGTCATTTTGACTGCTTTTGGGCAATATAAGTATTTCAGTCTTTCTAATGTTAATGTCATTCTATTCTAGTATAGTTGGTAGTAACCTTTTATATTCATTCATTCTAACAGGGTAGGAAATCATACATGTCTATTGTGCTGAATTTAACTTAACTCAACATTTTTATTAAATTTTTATCAATGTTCAATCCATAATGGAAGTAACTAAAAAAAAAAAATGGAAACATATAAAAACAAAATTTTAAACTTGTAAAATTATGTATACATGTACGGCATAATGTTAAGAAAATAGAAAACTATTTTGAATGAAACAAGGAGAAAAATAATTAATTCACCCTCCAAGTAAAGCCGTTTTTAGGTTTTTACGGAATGTTGTATTCAAAACCCATCCAGGTAAGCCTCCAGGTACAGGAGATTCCATATAAATATGGAGTTCACATAATGCTTCAACTGCATCCAGATGTTGTCTAAAAATAAAGTATGATGAGAAAATACTGATTGTACATTACAAAACAATATTAACACAGAACTTGGTAAATAAATAGTCATATCTATAGGGATAAGCATAAAACAATTTTTTATTAATAATTAAAGGATGCTAAAAAATAAAAGTTCAAAAGCATAATATAATGTTAATGACCTTCATAACAAGGTCCATATAAAAGGAGATTGGCTTATGAGATAAAAATTTGACTTATTGAATCATAAGGAGTTATTAAGAAATATTTATTACATGAGCATATTTGCTAGTCTAAATGATTTTTTTTACAAATTTGTTCTTTTATCCAACTTTTTATCAAAGTCTTTTCAACAAAGAATATTTAATTTAAGAAAAGCCGGAAAAATATCAAATATTTGGAATTTTGAAAGTGTTTAGTTTAAGGCCCTTTTAGAAATAAAGTTAATCGAAAAGTCAAGCGAAAATATGTTACCTTACACTGAAATAACAGCAATGTGTCATGCGTAGATTTTCATTTGAAGGGGTGGTTAAAACTGTTAGACAAATAAAGGCTGAAAGGTATAAGGTTCAATTTTCATTAGTCATCGAAGAGAACGATCTCATGCATTCAACTTGCGTCGGTGACGCCAGGGTCTGCGGGGATCGGCCAGTTTCTTTTCATTTACTGTTGGTCGTTCTTGCGTGAATCATGACATCATCCGTTATCTGTGTAAAGAATATTTAAGCTTCCGTTGGAACAGATTATTTGGTATTCTTTCTTTTCGTTTGTCACTCTGTTTGCGACAGTTTGCTTACCAATGTTTTTAAATAAACTTACTTCATTAGAAACTTCTCTTTTCTTATTTGTTTTATTGACATACAGATAAAATGATATTCTGCAACAATCTTAAATGTCAAAAACCATAAACTAGCTATTATTCGCAATGGCTAGTTTAAGTATTAGTAATATGCAATTCTTATTAATGATCGCAAAAAGGGGCATCCCCATAGCATTAACTGACAGATCCGTGAAGATTTACACTAATCAGGTTTTGGAAAATTAGTTGCGCTTGGACCTTGTTTCTTTAATAAACTAACATTAAAAGTAGTTGCCAGGAATCGCTACGAACTACTCTTTTTCGTATCACACTACTTCTTTTAAAAAGTAGTACACTACAATACAAAAAAATGTAGCAACTACAGTAGTTTTGCTACTTGAAGCATGCTACTTCCAATGAATGACTTTAAGCATAAAGAAATTAATATGTTAGGCTACAAAGCTAAGTTCTGACACATTTATGATGATATCAAAAATTAAGTTTTTTTTAAGTCTTCATCAAATGTAAAATAAGGTTGTAAAAAACTATATAATGATTGATTTTAGATTGAAGTTTTTGCGATTGATAAAATGAATGAAGAAAAATCAAGTTAATGTTTGTAAAGAAGATAAATATTTTTTTTAAATCTTAAAGGTTTTTTGAATATATTTTAATTAAATTATCATTTTAACAATTTAAAAATAAAAGTAGCCTCTTTACACTACTTACACCTGCTTTAATAAATAAAGAATCATATTTCCAATTAGTGTAGTAAAGAATAATAATCCAAGTACAATTTCACTTACTTGACATATTGTTGTCCAAGCCAAGATCCAATAACTGCTTGAGGTACAGGCTGTTCCACAAATAAAAGTCTAGTAACATAGTGTTTGGACAAGGAAGGTAATTCTCTGGAAAAACATTGGAAAAAATTAAGGAGGCATTTATTTATATTCACGAGATAAAATTGCTAGATAATGTTATACATAAAGTTAAATAATATTTAAAAAAAAAAAAATTCAGAAAGAAAGATCAGACTTAAAATTTAGTATTTGTACTTCTCTATAATTTACAATGATTTTAAAACAAAACTAAACAACTAACATAAGATATATAAAAGTCTTTCTTGATCTCCTTCTTTCCACACAAGAATAGATTACTTTATTGAAGAACACAAGAATAGATTCTTTAAACGAAAGAAACACTCTCTTTTAAGATTACTATTTTTCACTAAATTTTTGTGTAAATAAATTTAAAATTAAAAAAAAAATTTTGTGTCTGAATTTTTAAAAAAAATTTCTATATTTCAAGCGAGCCTTAACAATTCCTTGGTGAAAGCTGCGACCAAATCATATCTCTTATTCCTTCCCACGCAGAGGAAATATATGTCCCTATTGCTGAGAGATGGGTAAAATTCTTGTTTTCAATGTCACACCGAAAAGAATAATATATATATATATATATATATATCATTAAATAAAAGATAAATAATTAAAAGGTAAACAATTCTTTAAAATTAATTTTAGTTCAGTTTTAAAACGGTTCAAAGCATGAAGTTGAAATTGAAAGTTCGAATTCATGATTGTCATTTTGTGGGGTTCAGATAATTTGGTTTCAGATATACATATATATATGGATAGATAAATATATTATTATTATATATATATACAGGAAGGCGAGAGTCCCTCTTCAGATACTTTCCCGGTCAATAGTAAATTTATGTTCTCAAACTTTTGAAGACTGCCAAGTAAAGAAAAGAAATCATTTTCACTAAAAAGGCAGAAAATTTAACAAAATTTAAATATTGTAGAAAAGTGCAAAAATATTCTTACTTGAGAATTAAAAGCTTGATAAATCTTCGAATAATTGAATAGAAAATAATCAGTTCAATAAATAATAATATTTACAAAAACCATAGTATATTACTAATAATCAGGGTTGGGTTTTTGCCGTCAAAAACTAGTTCTTAACATGACAGTGGTAAAAACCGTCAAAAACCTACTGTTTTCTTTAATTTATGGCATATAGCGGACAATATATTATAATTTTAAAGTTTTCAAANTAGAAATAAGCTAAACAAAACTTTCAAAACTTGTAACTACTAACAAACTCTAAGTCAAGAATTACTGCTATTCTGTCAAGTTAAAAGCTTTTATTCAGTTGAAAAAGCACATTAAACAAAATTTAATTACAAACAAAATTATATGTTCAGTAGTCGGGGTTACTGTGCAGAAGCATACAATAGTAAGTGACTAATTTTGCGCATTTTACATTGCCCAGTCGATTTCTGAATTTAGTATGGATGGGTCCAAAATTTGAGAAGATTCTTTCAATGGAAGACCACCAGTCTAGTTCCAAGGAAGCCTGTCATTGAGAATAATGATAACAAAAGGTTATTGCAATGTTGCAAGGAAACTCAAAGGATTTCCCAGGCTTTTTCATGTCTCATTTCTGTGTAAAATATTGAAAACAAAAATGATAAGAAAAGTTTATTTTATGAGGATTTCTTTTTATGTGTACATGTGTTTCGCAAAGAAAGATTTTATGAATGAAAGTAATCAATCTTGACATTCTTCAGTAATGTAATATGCCAAACAAAATGCTTGGAAAAGTTGAAAATTTTGTTTAGTATCCTAATATTTTACTTCAAATAGTATGTTTTGATATAATCATGTTGGGAAAATGCAAGAATCTCTTCTTAAATACCTTTTAACAACTTTTTTTCTAATTTTATTACTCAAAAATGAATTAATTTTAAATTATACGCAGTTCAACTCAAACAAAAATACAATTTTACCAAAACTATGGGTTTTTGACATGACGGTAAAAACCATGGTAATAACCGGTAAAAGCCGTCATGTGTCAAAAACTTGCCAACCCTGCTAATAATAGTGCAATTGATTATAATTAGATCTCATGTTTCAACATCTATATTCTACTTCACCATTACTATTACTTTAGCTAAAAAATTTCTTTTTTAAATATCAATTTTTTATTTACCTGAATACAGCTAAACATGTAGCAGGGTGGTTATATAATTTTTCCAGAACAGCTGCTGATAGAGTTTTTAAATAATCATGCAGATCTTTGCATTTTAAAGATTGGCTTTTCGAAGTTGTCATTTTTTACTGATCTGAAATAAAACATAAATACATTATTTTTTATACATAAATGTATTTTCTACTTTATTTTTTTTTTCTAATATTTTAGATTAGATAAAAAAATTCACTTTTTACATTTTTACAATCACAAAACATAAATTACTATATGATATCTAAAAATTATGAAGTGGTAAAAACAAATATTAAAATTTAGTGGTTACTCTGGCTGTCACAATTTTATTGTGGTATTAAAAAGCTAACACAAAAATAAAGTCATGGGAAAAATGATGTGATAAAAATTTTTACTAATGATCTTGAGTGTATTTTCTTATGTTTAAAAAATGATTAAAGGAATTGTAAAGATAAAGAAAAGAGAATTACATCCAAGAAACACAACTGAAATTGTAAATAAGTTTATCGAAATCTTTTGTAATATTAAGGGTATTTTGGCGCTTCAAAGCATCCAAAAACTTGTTCTGGGTCTGTGAAACACAGCAATTATATTGTACAAGAATGATATGAAATACCTTTAAATAATAAGAGTAATAATTAAAAAAGAAATTCCAAAAATTAAGTTCCCATCTATAAACAAACCACGGACAAAACACAAACAATATTTTGCCGTGGGTACGGCTGTAGTTTATTTTTGGTGTCAACCGAAATCTTTTAAAGATACTCGATAGCCGAGGTTAAATGAGCTACAATTTATAATACGAAATAATAAGAATATTTACGATATTTATTTGATTTGTTTTGCTGTTTTAAATTTATTTTATCATTCAACAAGGTATCTGTAATATCTTTTTTTTAAAAAAGTGTTATGTGGAGCATTATTGGTAATGCTGGTTTCTTGAAGTTTCGGGATCAGTGAAAATGCATTAATATTGACTTTAACTTCCATTTGGTTTATGTTATGAAATTTGTTTTTTGTTTTTTTAGTTCGATATTTGCCGCATTTGCGACAATGACTTGACTTAAAAGGCAAAATAGAATATACATTTGTTAAGAATGGATGCCGGTAAAAACAGAGGTAAGACGCACTCATTTTTGTAATTAAATTAGTATTTTAAAAATACATTTTTTTTCTGTGATTAATAATTGAATTAAAATTTATTCTCTGATACCAGGTTAGATTATTTTATTTTAATCAGGATTAAAATAAAGATGAAGATCTGGGCAACTGTTTGCGAGAAAGTAATCATTGATTTAAATTTAAAAAATGTGTGTTGGAATAATAAAAAATACTAAGAGAGTTTATATCTCACAATTTAACATTTTTATATAAATAATTTCTAAGCGAAGGTTTATTTTAATACACCTAAAATTTTTGCCACAAAACAATAGCACTCGAATAAAAATCCTTTTTTCATCAATAATTTTTAAATGCTTGATTTAAAACCATTTTAAAGTATACTATATTTTTTATTTCTCAAACTGTAATGCAACCTCAAAACTCTTTACAGTGAAGCCATAGCTTTCACACAAAAAATATTATTTTATCCAAATTTTATTTTTAAAAATTTTAATGTTACAGTGTGACGAAATAATACAAAATAAAGAAATTAATTTTTGTTAATAACTCTTTCTTAAACTATCTTGAATTTATATGATTATCAAGTCTGTTATTATTACTATCTAGCATTATCATGTGTTACCATTCTCTTATGATCTCCATTTCAATCATTCTTACAGGAGATTACAATCTCCTTTTAAAGTTTAAGATCTAAACTAGTTTGGTTATTTTCATATAAATTGATTGAGGAAATATATCAGATAAATATTTTTTTCCCATTTTTCTACACTTAATAATAATTACTAAACTTAAATATTTGTTTCTACCTGAATTGGTTTATATATCTCAGGGATTCACTACCTACTTTTACTACTACCGAGTCACTGTCAAAAATGCCATGTTGGGGGCCAACTTGAGTGACATAAAACTTTATTGTAAAAATGTAAAGTGTATTACATTAACACTACTAACTAAAAGTAACTTGTATAAGCACAGAAACGTCTGAAATTCGTAAAACTTACATTTATTACTATTACAAATGCTAAACTCATAGCTGTTAATAGCACTTAAAGAATGAAATAGTTACAATCAAGTTCTGGCATGCATTTTGACAACAGGGGGCGGATCCAGAAATTTCCTGGGGGGGGTCATAGACTCCCCCTCCCCCCACAATTAATTTTTTTTGTAAAAATTTTTTTTTTTTTAATATTTAAAAAATAAAGTTCTGGGGTTTTTAATGCTAGTCTTCTCATTAATTATTTTTATAATGAACAATACATAAATAATTGAAGTATTCAAAATCTTTAAAAAATAAATGAAATGTGTTTTTTAGAAACTTTGGCAAATCTGTCAATGATTTTTTCAACATCCAAATGAATTTCTCGATGAATGTTTAATAATGCGAGTCTATAATCGTTCTTGATTTTGAGTTGCTCTAAGCCAAGTTTTGAGACGTTGAAGAGTTGAAAAGGAACGTTTTGCTGTCGCTGCACTAACTGGCAGAGTTATTAAAATTCTCAACAACATATTGATTGATGGGTACAAATCGATGTCACAGGCATTAATAATCTTGGAAAGATCGTTGGACACTTCAAGTCCTGCTTCTGTTTCACGCTGCCATTTTGCCACCCAAAGACGAAATTCTGTTTCCACAACTTTTACGGAAGCATTTAAGAGATTCTTATAAAACTCGGCAGTTTCACGAACGGCTATAAGATCTTCTTCTGTTTCGCAAATTTCCCATCTTCACCTTTATACAATCTTTGGTTAAGCCTGTTGAGGCTCGTTTGAAGCACTCGGCGCCCTTCTACATTATTAATGTTTACAATGAAATATGACGAATTTCGTTTTAATCTTTTGGATTATGATTCTAGAAACAGTGAAGAACATAATTAGATTGAAAAAAAATCGACTTTCTGACCTACCTAGGTGTATATGCCCCCTTAAATAATTTGTAAAATATTTTATTTCTTTTGTAAACTATTAAAGAAATTATTATTATTTTTTTTTTCAATTCGAGAGTCAACGCTCTCCGCGCATATGGATCTCCAGGTATCATGACCCCACCCCCCGCTGTATCCGCCACTGTTGGACAATAAGTGAATATATATATATATATATATATATACCTATATTATTTATAGATTGCACCTGGTCTGACTACCAAACTTCTATAAATGTTGAATCCATAATTTCGCGGTGAAAATATTAACTTAGAATACTTTCTGAAACAAAATTATTAGCGTTAAAATTATTATAAAATTAATTTATTTAAATTATTAAAATTATTATAAAATTAATTACTTCAGAAAACTAGTATGACAGTTTAGAAGAAAAAAAATTTTTTTTGCATCTTAGTGAGTAATAAATATGTATTTTATTTAAAAATCTAGTTTCTGTTTACTAATATTTTAATTAATAAAATTTCTGTTAAGTGCATTTGAGAGTTTATTTTATAAACATGTATGCATAAAATGATTTTTTTATTATAATCTAATAATGGCTATGTATGAAAATATTAATCAACAACTAAGTGCATCTTTCTGTTGAAAATGTCAGATGCATATAAAAATATAGGATATTTTTAAAATTTAAAAAAGATACATTATTTACATCTCTTGATTTCTTGAAAAAAAAAAACTCTCTTTATTTTTCTCGAATTATTTTAAAATAGAATTTGGACACTGCTGAAAATTGTATACCTCATTTGGTCAACAACTCAGTGCAGCTGGCAAACTAGTTTATTCGATGTAAAACTAAGTTTAAATTTATAATTAAAATGATTTATAAGATTTTAAATTCTTAATAAACATTTTAAATCAATTTTTAAAATTGAAATTCAAGAAAATTTAAAAATCAACTTGGATAAATTAAATTTAAATCATGAGTTTCAAACATTATTCAATTTTCTTTTATCTTCTAGCTTCGTGGTTAAATTTTAAAACTATTCCTAAATCATTTATGACCAGATTTAAGCATCATTATTCTAAACTTTTTATTTTAGATTTAAAATCTATTTACAAAACTGAAAACCAATTACGCTAACGTCACAATGGACAATATTGTTGACATTAATAGAAGTTCGTGTAAAAAAATTTAGAAAAAAATAATCAATCCTAATAATTAATAGTATTGATAATAAAGGGTGCTGGTAGAATAATACAAAAGGGGGTGCAACCCTCTAACAAACTACCCCCCCCCCCCAGAAAAAAAATTTAAAATATTCTGTTATTGCTTTTTGTTTTGTTATTGCATATACTTTCATCTGATAATTTTTTACGCATTTCTTCATTATTAATAGTAATATTAATAGACTTCAATATTAATAGACGCATTTCTTCATTGTTAACAAGATATTTAAAAAAAAAAGTACGAATTTCTTGTACTTGCAAATTTTGCTACGAGAAACTGAATTGATGGCATAGCTACTGACTTTGAAACACAAATTACTACAAACAGTAGCTTCGTGAACGCTTAACATCGGTATTTATTGCGTTGATGAAGTTTTACAGTTGTGAGAAGTCAGTTTGTCTTATACACCTTTCTTAAACTAAACAACTAATAGAAAATATCATATTATTTATATTTTATTAAATGAAATTTAAAAATGTAGCTTAGATATCTGCCAAGTTCAGTGTGCATAAGAAAAGTATCTGAGATGACTCAGAATTCATTGAAACAGTTATAAGCAGATTTGGACAGCAAGCAAGACAATTACAATTCTTGTTTAATTGAGAAAAATTTTAATTGTTATGTATCAATAATTACTTAATTATTTGTTTTTGAATAAAAATATTTTTTATTTTTAATATTTTTGTTTTTGAAAAAAAAAATTTATAAATTTTTTTTTTCTGTATCTCTTTAATCGCTTAAAAAAAAGCCAAGGGGATGCAAGTGCGCCCTCTTGCACCCCGCTGCAGGGGCCCTTGAAAGATATAAGTAAATTATTTATTTAGATAATTAAGATTTAAGACTATTATTTTGTGTTTTAATTTCTGGTGCTAAAAAAATTCCTTGCGAACCTAATTTAATTTTTATCTTGAACTTTTGCCAAAATATGTTGTTTTTGGAAAAGGCAGCGACCATGACTAATTTAATAAAACATTTAGTAAACAAATACAGGACTGAACAATACAAATGCGGAGACTAATTGCCTCATAAGTATTCATCACGCACCTCTGCTGCGTAGGAATAATATGAATGTCTATGATAGCTATTTTTGTTCGAGATTTCAGGGTTATGAGTTATGCGTGCATGAAGCTGGAAAGTACGCTTCCTACAAATACTCGTATTTTAATAAATTTAAGTGATTATGCTAACGTGTCAATTGATGACGTATATAGGAATTTGTTCATTTTTCCTCTACAAAAGGTGTTAATCACCGAAATTTCTTTCTTCTTAAAAACGTATTTCAATCATATTTGTTCTAAAATTTAGAATTTAAATTAAGGTATTGAGTTAAAAATAAACAAGAGGTTAACAAGCACCCCGATTTGAAAACGGTTGGTTGCTCGTTGCTTAATAACGTGTAATTTTTTATATATATATATATCTCAAAAATCTACAGATATTTGAAGTATTTTTCTTATTTTGAGCATCCCCTGTCACAAGCGAAGAAAATTTTTCTAATTTATTTTACATCAGTTGAAGTTCGTACTTGATTTAAAACTCAATGATGTACAACTCATTTTATAAATAATTTTGCTTGTGTTTTCCTTAATTTTCTATGTAGGGCAATAAAAATGTAATTCAAACCTAACATTCCAAAAAAAAAATATATATATCTATATATATAATAATTAATGAATATTTTACCCAGCGAAAATATATTAGGTGTTCTCCTTATAGTAAGTAGTAGAAAGTTGCACGACTTCGCGCATCAGGTTTTGGCCCTAAGGGGGATTTATGGCATGAAAAACTTAAATAAAGCTGTCGTGAAAAAAATGATACAAGTCTATACAATTTTGATGGGTAAAAAGTACCTATTTACTCATGAGAAATTGTTACCTAGGTAAAAT